CTCTTGAACTGGGGAGCCCAGAACTGGATGCAGTATTCCAGCTGTGGCCTCACCAGTGCAGAGCAGAGGGGAAGAATGACCTCCCTTGACCTGCTGGCCACACTCTTCCCTATGCAACCCAAGATACCATTGGCCTCTTGGCCACAAGAGCACACTGTTTACTCATTGTCATTTTACTGTCCACCAGGACCCCTAGATCTTTCTCTTCAGTAGTTGTCTCCAGCAGGTCCACCCCTAACCTGTATTGGTGCCTGACATTTTTCTTCCCCAGGTGCCGGACCCTACACTTTTCCCTGTTGAACCTCATGAGGTTCTTCCTTGCCCAGCTCTCCAGCCTGTCCAGGTCACCCTGGATGGCAGCACAGCCCTCTGGGGTGTCAGCCACCCCCCTTCCAGTCTGGGATCATCAGCCAACTTGCTGAGGATACACTCTGTCCCCTCATCCAGGTCACTGATGAATATATTAAACAGCACTGGACCAAGTATTGACCCCTGGGGGACAATGTGTTTGAGAAATGTGTTTTGAGAAATGTGTTTGAGCTCCCCTGGGACAGGAGATGCTGCCCCAGCAGGAGATCCCCTGGGACAGGAGATGCTGCCCCAGCAGAGCTCATGGCTTAGGGAGGAGCAGCTGGAGGAAGGAAGGGATGGGAAAACACAACAGAATCCAAGAAAAGAGGGAGTTTGGAGTTCTGGCCTCACTAAAGTAGATGAATTTTAGCAATTCAGGAATTTTAATATGTTCATGCACTTATAGCAATAGTTTCAACCATCTTTTTTTAAAAGCTCGCCTCCCACATACAGGCAGCTCTGTCATTAACTTCATCTCCCTCTCTCAGAGCAATCCAGCTTCCTCTAGTGCCTCTGCCTGAATGGAAAATTGTGTGTCTGGAATCAGGTGTCTGCAAAAATCAGGTACTTAGCGAGGAGTCCAAGCCTGGAGTTTAGAGATGTATTTTACGCTCCTACCTCTGAAAAATCTCTTTAGAAACCAGAAGTAGGGATGAATAAAACATCGGATATATCAAAATATATGGACTACTGTTTAGCAGGTGCTGGTTTGTAGCATGCAGTCAAATTTTAAGTTCTTTTCTTTATTTCTTGCAGGCAAGAGGCGCTGATCTCCCTGACCTTGCCGGGGAGCTGGCGCTCCGCACCTGCGGCAGCACGGCCAGCATGAAGGTGAAGAATGTGAAAAAGTAAGAGCAGTCTTTGATTTCCCCCTCTTTCCTGGGCTCCCCCCAATACCCTGGGTTTTAGCTGTTGTGCTGCCACACAGCCGGGGCCTCCGGCAGCACTTTTTGAGAGTTTCTTCGTCAGAGCAACTAAAGAAAAGGGAATTATAGCTAATGGAGTCTAAAAGTGGGGATGGGAGAGGTTTTATTGGCTCCTTCACCTGTTTCTGGCCATAGAAGTGAAGCTTGTTTGAGTTTTGAACCTCACTGTTACTGTATTTTTAAATTTTTGTGATTTTGTTCTGAAACTGTTTATTAAAAAAACCCAAACGTATATATATATGTATATATAAAAAACCGAGAGAAACCCAAGCAGTGTTCAACTGACATAATTTTCCCTGTCTCCCTGTGCTCTGGGAAGCTAAACCAGGACGAGTGGGTGGCCTAGATATATTTTTTTATTGGATATTTTTCCTCTTTTCCTTATTTTTTTTTTGCATTCTGCCCTGTACCTCTTCATTCAAATGGGTTTTGCACCTTATTTTTTTTTTTTAGGAGTATTTTTTCCTTTGCTGATCTCCCAGATATTTTTTTTCTGGTGGGTTTACACTTCTCTCTCTCTCTCTCATTCTCTCCCAGAGAGAATAACCAAGTTATTATGCCCGCAGCTAAGGTTTCAAACCTCTAACCCTCAAAAGGGGGATCCAAAATAATCGATGTGACTTGACTTGGCTTTGCTGAGAGCAGAGCTCCTCGCCATCGACTGCTAGCATCCCCCTCACCTCTCTGGCAGGGAAATGGCTCTTTGTTCCAGCTCCGAGCAGCCAGATGCTGCATCTCACTTCCCACTTCCATTCCTGTGGGAAGGGAGCTCTAGATAATGCCAATCTCATTGGCTCCCCCCCCAGAAATATCTATAGGAGGCTCTAATAGCTTCAGCAGAAGAGAGAGGATCTCCCCGTCAGCCATGGGTGTAACTGGAGACACTTGGGGAATTGATTGTGCCTCGCTTTTGACTTTTCCAAAAAAGGCAAAGGATAAATAGCGTTTGTTCTGCACCCTCAGATACATCAACCCGGGACTGATGGGCTGTGATGCCTTTCACAGGTAAAGCTCTCCTTTCCTCTGTGTCTCGTGTAAGGCTGTTGATTTGCACTGCAAATACGTGTGTGTCGAGGTCGTGAGCGGCTTTTCCCTGCACCATTTCTTAGAGACGTGGGCTTTGGTGTTGATGAAATGCCTCACAGTTCTTTTAAGGATGCAATTTACTTTTCCTTTTTTCACTCAGTTCCTTTCTCCACTGTGCATCACATCAGCAAATCCCTCTGCTCCCTTGGCTTTAGGATGAGAAAGTCGTTGTTATTATTTTCTATCATTTTGGAACAGCTGCTGAGCCCTGTTTGGGTGATTTGCATCTAAGGATGTGCTTTTGCTGTGCTCCAGGTTATCCTTCACAAAGGGCCATTTCCCGAAGATGGCTGAATGTGCACATTTCCATTACGAAAACGTGGACTTTGGCAACATCCAGGTGAGTTTCTGGTTTCTTTTCTGTACAAAACCTCACGGTGTTGGGCTTCCAGGGACCTCCCCCGAGGTTTCTTTATTTTGTTGCAAAACGGTTAGTGATAAGTTAAAGCAAAAGGCTCTCTTTATTTGGAATTTCTGCCGTGCTCTGACAAGAATCTGGAGGTTTGAGATGTTTTTATAGAATCATAGAATGTTTTTTGGTTGTTTTTTTTATTTCCACTGGATATTAGGAAGAATTTTGACACTGGCTGCCGTGTTCTGACAAGAATCTGGAGGTTGGAGATGATTTTATAGAATCATAGAAAGGTTTTTTTGGGTTTTTTAATTTCCACTGGATATTAGGAAGAATTTTGACACTGAAAGGGTTAATCAAGTTTTGGAATGGGCTGCCCAGGGAGGTGGTGGAGGCACCATTCCTGGAAGTGTTCAAAAGATGGGCTGATGTAGTGCTGAGGGACGTGGGTTAGTGGTGGTTGGGTTGGTGGTTGGACTTGATGATCTGAATGGTCCCTTCCAGCCCAGATGATTCCATGATTGGACTGATGTCACTGTTTTAAGCCTGCATCAAACACTCAGTATTGAGTCATCTGTAGTAACCACACGCCTCTTTTTAGCTGGTGTGTGCATCTCTTTAAACAGTTGTGTACGCGTATTTATGTAAATATAAATAGAATCACAGAATCATAGAATTGCCCAGGCCTGAGGGGACCTCCAAAGGCCATCTAGTCCGACCCCCCCGCAGTCAGCAGGGACACCCCCAACTAGACCAGGTTGCCCAGGGCCTCGTCGAGCCTCTCCTTGAATATCTCCAGGGAAGGGGCCTCAACCACCTCCCTGGGCAACCTGGTCCAGTGCTCCACCACCCTCCCAGTGAAGAACCCTCTCCTAATCTCCAGTCTAAAGCTGTTCCCCTCCAGCTTGAAGCCATTGCCCCTCGTCCTGTCACTGCAGGCCTTTCTAAACAGGTTCTCCCCAGCCTTCCTGTAGGCTCCCTTCAGGTACTGGAAGGCTGCTATTAGGTCTCCCCGGAGCCTCCTCTTCTCCAGGCTGAACAACCCCAGCTCCCTCAGCCTGTCCTCGGAGCAGAGGTGCTCCATCCCCCTGATCATCCTTGTGGCCCTCCTCTGGACCCTCTCCATCAGGTCCATGTCCTTCTTCTATTGAGGGCTCCAGACCTGCACACAAGACTCCAGGTGAGGTCTCACCAGAGCAGAGCAAAGTGGCAGAATCCCCTCTCTGGACCTGCTGGCAACGCAGCTTTTGATGCAGCCCAGGATGCAATTTGACTTCATAGTAATTGGGCTTCATCCCTTCTCTTCGCCGTCATAATAATTGGGCTTCATCCCTTCTCTTCGCCGTCCCTCAGCTCTGCATTGTGTGTTGCAGTAGCTGGGTCAGCAGAATCCATGGAATTACTCCTCAGCCTGAGCTGTGTCTCTGGCTTCTCTCCCCTGTGATGATCCCGCAGACACACGGGGAGAAGGGCTTTTCATTGAACAGCTCCAAGGAGGGCTGAAAACCTGGAGTCTCTGTCTCCTAAACAGGGCACATCTTGTTCTGCGCCGAGAGAGCGGGGCCGCCTCCGGCACCGCCAGCCAAAAGGAGGTTACAACTTTTTCATTTGTAAAACATTTCCTGTAATACCCAGTGAATTATTTACAGCCTTTCATCTTCCCCTGCTCGACGGTTTTGCGAGCGGAATGTTTCTGGTCTCTGTAAAATTCTGACCAAGGAGGAGTTTGGGTCCCATTCAGTGGTTCCCAGGGACAGGACGAGGGGCAACGGGCACAAGCTGGACCATGGGAAGTTCCACTCCAATGTGAGGAAGAACTTCTTTGGGGTGAGGGTGGCAGAGCCCTGGGACAGGCTGCCCAGGGAGGGTGTGGAGTCCCCTTCTCTGGAGATCTTCAAGCCCCACCTGGATGCTCCTGAGTAACATGCTCTGACAAGCTCTGGGTGGTCCTGCTTTGGCAGGGGAGTTGGACTGGGGGATCTCTAGAAGGTCCCTTCCAACTCCAACATTTCCATGCTTCAGGGCTGGTGTCTGCTGGTGTTCACACTTAGTGGCTCCCAGTGGGTCCACTCTGCTGAGAGGGGATTTTTCACTGAATTTCACTGAATTTTAGAGTTGGAAGGGACCATAGAGATCATCTAGTCCACCTCCCCTGCTGAAGCAGGACCACCCAGAGCTTGTCAGAGCATGTTACTCAGGAGCATCCAGGTGGGGCTTGAAAATCTCCAAAGAAGGGGACTCCACACCCTCCCTGGGCAGCCTGTTCCAGGGCTCTGCCACCCTCACCGTGAAGAAGTTTCTCCTCATATTTGAGTGGAACTTCCCATGGTCCAGCTTGTGCCCGTTGCCCCTCGTCCTCTCACTGGGAACCACTGAAAAGAGTCTGGCTCCCTCCTCCTTCAACCCACCCTTGAGATACTTGTCAGCATTGATAAGGTCTCCCCTCAGCCTTCTCTTCTCCAGACTAAAGAGTCCCAGCTCTCTCAGTGATGTTTGTGAACTCACACTCACACACACACACAGAGGCAGCGCCAATTAGACAAAACAGTGGTTTTAAGAGGACACGGAGGCAAAGAGCTGGGTTCTTGATGAGGTCTCTGGGTGATGGGAGATGTCCTCAGTCCTCAGATGTTGGGACCAGCCCTCAGTCTTTGGAAGCAAAACCACATTTCTTTATTTTCACTTTCTGTGTATGGGAATGGTGTGACTAAGCTGTATCCCTCCTGATAACATTTTGATTTGACAATCCTCATTTTTTGGCTGTTTTGGAAAGAAGTTTTATATCGGAGCAGGTGTTAAACAGGTTTCTGCTTTTTCTCTTTTTTTTTGCATTGTGTGATCCTCTGAGTTTTCCATCATTCAGGACAAAGTGCAACCCAGGGAGAGATTACAACCTTTGGATGGTACTGCTGTTGGAAGCATTTTGAAGACAAATAGTTTAATTCTTTTGTGGGTTTATGCATTTCTCGGGGTGTTGTAAGGCCAGCAGGGTGAACTTGTAGGGTTGATATGCTGAGATGTTTCTGTTTGTGAGAGGGAGGAGTAAGATCAGAGAATATGGAGAGGGACTTTTCACAAGGACATGTAGTGATAGGAGGAGGGGGAAGGGTTTGACCCTGAAAGAGGGGAGATGGAGATGAGATGTGGGGAAGAACTTGTTTGGTGGGAGGGTGGGGAGAACCGGGCCCAGGTTGCCCCGAGAAGCTGTGGCTGCCCCATCCCTGGAGGGGTTCAAGGGCAGGTTGGAGGGGGCTTGGAGCAACCTGGTGTGGTGGGAGGTGTCCCTGCCCAGGGCAGGGGGTTGGAACTGGATGGTCTTCAAGGTCCCTTCCAACTCAAACTGTTCTGTGATTCTCTTCCTGTTGGTCTGCTGACAATCCTGATGCGTGTTCTGGTGGGAGGTGTCCCAAAGCAGGAGTTGGTGGTGTCTGGCGCTCGGTTTTGTGGTGTCATTGCTGCTCCCACAGCTTTCCAGGCTCCTGCTCCGTTGTCCTCTGTGCCCGTGCCCTCTGGTGCTAGCAGGTCACCAACTGCTCTAACCAGAGGAGTTATCTGGCTGACAACTGGGGAAGGATATAGCCCTGGAAGAAAAGGTTGTTGAGCCACGTCAGGCCCTTGAGCCTGTTTTTCTCTCAGTGTTTGGGTTGGGACCCAGGAGGAGAAGGGAGGGCGATGGCAACATGGTCATAGAAGTGTGGTTGTGTGTTTTGGGGGGGTCAGTTCTCTACTTCTTCCACTGCAGTTCTGAAAAACTGTGCCCTCTTAACTATTTGTGTACCTACAGCACTATTTGTGTACCTAAAGCTTTTTCTCAGCAAGATTTCGCTGAATTTCACTGAATTTTTTAGAGTTGGACGGGACCATAGAGATCATCTAGTCCAACTCCCTTGCTGAAGCAGGTCCACCCAGAGCTTGTCAGAGCATGTTACTCAGGAGCATCCAGGTGGGGCTTGAAAATCTCCAAAGAAGGGGACTCCACACCCTCCCTGGGCAGCCTGTTCCAGGGCTCTGCCACCCTCACCGTGAAGAAGTTTCTCCTCCTCTTTGAGTGGAACCTCTTATGTTCCAACTTGTGCCCGTTGCCCCTCGTCCTCTCACTGGGAACCACTGAAAAGAGTCTGGCTCCCTCCTCCTTCAACCCACCCTTGAGATCCTTGTCAGCATTGATAAGGTCTCCCCTCAGCCTTCTCTTCTCCAGACTAAAGAGTCCCAGCTCTCTCAGTCTCTCCTCATAAGGGAGATGCTCCAATCCTTGAATCATCTGATTCTGATTTCTGATAGATCCCTGTGGTGTAGTGACTTTTTTATATGGATAAATACATAAGATGAGAATATCTTACCTTTGCTCCTGAAATGCAAAAGGTCAGGGCGATACAGCATCTCCAGTATTAACAGTAAAATAAATGAAAGCTATTAATACAACTAATACAAAGTATTAGTTTACAGACTTAAAAATAGGTTCATCTAGGGCTCATGCATTTTCATCAGGTGGCATTCAGTGGTGGCTCCTTTGTGCTGAGAAGGTAGAGCAGAGAATAGCAGTGGGCTGAAGTGACGTGTAAGTGACAGCTTGGCACCTAATAACGAATTACCAAGTTGCATCTGAGGGGTAGTGGGTGTAAACTCCTTTCCAAAAAATCTATTCACTGTTAAAAAATTTGCATAGTGGAACGGCGGTATTATCTGCCTGTGTCAGGAATTGTGTAATGCTGTCTATTAACAGCCTGGCCAAATTTCAGCTTGTTTTGTAACGTTTGTGTCACTTCTAATATGGTCTCGTGGTGCAATTGGTATTAATAATCTTGGCGTTTCACCTCATGAGATCGTTTTAAATTAACTTGTGGAGATGTGTAAAAAGGACTTGTTCTCCTCTTACCCTGGCACCAGGCGTGTTTGGGGATGCTTTTTCTCTTCAGAAATGCTCTGCTCTACTGCTTTCAGCAGCAATGTATCTTCACTTTATCTGCCTCAGGCCAGCGAGACAGAGG